TTTTGGATTATCACTGGGAGTCCTAAATACCATAGGCCTCAGACATTTGAGTTCAGAGGGTTCCAAGGATAGTATATAATTTGTTAAAATTTTGCAACCAGCAGACCTATATTAAAATCCCATTTTACCCTTATGAGTTTTGTAATCTTTTTTTTTTAATTTTATTTTATTGTGTTATGTTAGTCACCATACATCATTAGTTTTTGATGTAGTGATCCACAATTCATTATTTTCATATAACACCCAGTGCTCCATGCAGTACGTGCCCTCCTTAATACCCATCACCGGGCTAACCCGTCCCCCCACCCCCCTCCCCTCTGGAACCCTCAGTTTGTTTTTCAGAGTCGACAGTCTCTCATCTTAAGTAACTCATTAACCTAAGTGACTTCCTCACTTACTGAGAACAAAACTATCATAAGAAATCAGTTTGGGGGCGCCTGGGTGGCTCAGTTGGTTAAGTGTCTGCCTTCGGCTCGAGTCATGATCCCAGAGTCCTGGGATCAAGCCCCACATCAGGCTCCTTGCTCTGCAGGGAGCCTGCTTCTCCCTCTCCTCCCTGCTTGTGTTCTCTCACTCTCTCTCCAATGAATAAATAGAATCTTAAAAAAAAAAAAGAAGAAGAAATCAGTTTAAAAAAATCAACTAGGTAAAAATGATGCAGGCCCAGGGATTCAGTTTTTTAATAGATTGGGTATATGCAAGAATACTATGGTATCCCCTCCACCCCACCCCCAACACCAAAACATTGTTTTTATTAAGGGAGAAAACATTTTATTTGTCACTCCCAATGATCTCTCTCTCCACTTCCTCATCACCCATAGCCCTTTACTATCTAGATAACACATTTCATTTAATTAAATGTGGTTGTGCCTTGTCTTTTAATTGCTTAGTATTTGTATATCTTGCTTCCCCACTTCATCTTGCTTACCACCTCACATCACATGTCCACGCCAGGCTAGACTGTAATTTCCTGAGCACTGGGATCTAGCATAAAAATTGCTTATAGACTTTCAGCAGCTTATAGTATCTGATAAAGGTTTAGACACATGGGCATCAATAATTATCTGCAAAAAACTGATTCCCCAATCCTGGGGCAGAAGTAAAAGTACTCCTAAATAAATCCTTTAGGTTCTGTGAGCTAGAGTGGTGACTCTTGGAGAATATCTAGTTTCATTTCCAAGGAAGCTGAAGGTAATGATCTTGGATAAGAGGTTGTCTCACTTGCTTCATTACCCAACAAATTAGAAGTATAGCAGAACACATAACCCCAACTCCGAATCCTTTCTCCTTGGCAACTAAACCTCATCACCATAGAGGCAATGACCCAACATAGATTTTATAAGAAAGATAAATGAGTATTTTCCTCACCTTTTCCTTTTCTTACCTTGATCTCTCCTACATACTATAAGAAATATCAAGAAGAATTTAAAACAATAATCTGCACTTCATAGGCATATATAAATGAGGAATAGTGTTATATGAGAGGAAAGACTTTCTGATGGTTTTCACATTAATTAAAAAAAAACAAAACTGAATATGATGAACTGCTGGTAAAAATATAATTTACATACAGTCTACTTGCAACAAGTAATAATCTATGATGCTAATACTTCCAACCATGTTCCTGAGCATCTTCAAAAAATTAAAAGTAAATCACATTCTGTTATTAAAGTTTACATACAAATTCACAAGGCTAATTTTATTTTTCATTTCTTTTTTTTATTGTGATATGATTTACTCATAATACAATCTAACTTCCCCCTATTTAATAAGCTTTAATAATCAAAGGCATCCATGTGATCACCAAGAGAAGATACAGAATATCTCCATGATTCCAATAAGTTTTCTAACAATCCTTTGTAGCCAAATCTCTCCCAAAAAGAATTACTTTCTGACTAAACAAAGGCTTGCTTTACCTTTTCTAGAACGCTACATATTTGGGATCATACAATGTATACCGTTGTCTCTAGCTTTTTTAACTCAGAACAATGTCTATGAGATCTAACCATATTTGTGTGTATCAGTAGTTTGTTCTTTTAATTGATGAGTAGTATTAGGCAATGAACATAAGTTTATCCTCCTCTTGATGGACATTTAAATTGTTTCCAGGTTTTGACTATTATGCAGAAAGCCATAGAAAATATTCCTGCAAAAGTCATATTGTAGAGATAAGCTTTCCTTTCTCTTAAATATATTTATTGGAGTGGAATCGCTAAACTGTAGGACAGATATATCATTAATGTTGTAAGAAACTGGAAAACATCCTCCAAGGTGGTTGTACCTCTTCCGCACTCCCACCAACAACGGATGGAAGTTTCAGTAGCTCCATATCCCTGTCATTTGGTGTTGTCAGACTGGTGTGTAGCCTCCTAGTTGGTGTGAAATGATTTCAAACTATTGTTTTATTTTATGTTTATCTGCTGACTAATGATGTTGAACATCTGTTCACGTGCCTAGTGGCCATTCTTATATCTTCTTTGGTGAAATGTCTGCTCAATATTTTTGGTCACTAATTTTTTTTTATTGTGGAAATTTTACATACTACAAAATACACTATTTTAATCACCCTTAAGTGTACAATTCAGTCATATTAATTATATTCACAATGTTGTGCAACTACCACCACCATCTACTTCCCAAACTGTTTCATCAATCCACAGAAACTCTATAACCACTAAGCATTAACATTTCATCTTCTGTTTCCTTCAGCCCCTGGTAACATCTAATATAGTTTTTGTCTCTACGATTTTGCCTATTCTAGTTATTTCATATGAGTGGAATCATATAATATTTTTCCTTTTGTGTCTAGCTTATTTCACTTAACATAATGTTTTCAAGGTTCATCCATGGTGTAGCATGTATCAGAACTTCATTCCTTTCCTTGGCTAAAAAATATTCCATTGTACATATCATATTTTGTTTATCCATTCATCTGTTGATGGACATTTGCCTTGTTTCTACTTTTTGGCTATTGTTAATAATGCTGCAGTGAACATCGATATATAAGTATCTGAGTTCCTGTTTTCTTTTATACTGGGTATATGACTAGAAATTGCTGACTCATGTGGTTATTCTATTTTTAGCTTTTTGAGGAACCAGCAAACTGCTTCCTATAGCAATTGCACCATTGGACATTCCCACCAGTAATGTATGAGGTGCCAATTTCTCTACATCCTCACCAACAGTCATGATTTCATTACTATTATTATTTTTACCAATCTTATGGGCATAAAGTGTTATCTCACTGTGATTTTGATTTTCATTCCCCTAATGATTGATGATGTTGAACATATTTTCATGTTCTTATTGGTCCTTTGTGTATCTTCTTTGGAGAAACATCTATTCAATTCCTCTACCAATTTTTTTAATGTCTTTTTGTTGTTCAGTCACAGAAGTTCCTTGTACAATCTGGACGTTACAAGATACAATTTGTAAATATCTTCTCCCATTCTGTAGGTTGTCTTTTCATTTTCTTAATAATGTCCTTTGATGCACAAATGTTTTCAATTTTAACAAAGCCCAATTTATCTTGTTGTTGTTGCCTATATTTTGAGGTCATAATTAAGAATCCATTGTCAAATTCAAAGTTATTAAGATTTTCCCTTATGTCTTCTAAGATTTTTATGATTTTAGCTCTAACATTTAGGTCATTGCCCAATTTGAGTTAATTTCTTTATGTAGCATGAAGCAGGGGTCCAAATTCATTCGTTTGCATGGGGAAATTCAGTTGTCCCAGGCCTATTTTTTGAAGATACTGTTCTTCCCACATTGAAAGGAACTGGCACCCTTGTCAAAAATTAAATGACCATAGATGCACAGGTTTATTTCTAGACTTGCAATTATATTCCATTGGTCAACATGTATATCTCTATGCCAGTACCACACTGTTTTGATTATAGTAGCTTTGTAGTAACTTTTGAAATTGGAAAGTAGGGATCCAACAAATTTGTTCTTCTTTTTCAAGATTGTTTTGGCTGTTTGGTGTTCATTGGAATTCCATAAAATCTTGAGGATTGGTTTTTCCATTTCTTCAAAAAGGCTGTTGGAATTTTGATGGAAATTGCAGTGAATCCATAGATAGGTTTGGGTAACACTGATATCTTAACAAGATTAAATCTTCCTACCCATGAGTATAGGACTTCTTCAGTTTACTTCAGAAATATATTGTAGTTTTCAGTGTATAAATCTTTATCTCCTTCATCAAATTATTCCTAACAGTTTATTTTTACATACTACTACAAATAGAATTTCTTTCTTAATTCTCTTTTCAGCTCATTCTTTGCAGGTGTACAGAAGTACAAGTGATTTTTTATGTTGATATTATACCCTACAACTTTGCTGAATTCATTTATGATCTCTAATAGCTTTTTTTGTAGATTATTTGGGACTTTATATATAGAGGATCACATTAGCCGATACAGAGATAGTTTTACTTCTTTCTTTCTAATTTTGATATTATTTTTTTTAACTTGTCTAATTGCTCTGGCTACAACTTCCAGTACAGTGTTGAATGGCTTTGGGAAAGTGGGCATCTTTGTCTTGTTCCTGACCAGGCAAAGTTTTCAGTCTTTCACGATTGATGTCATCTGTGAGTTTTTATTATGTTGAGGAAGTTTCTTTCTATTCCTAGTTTTCTGAGCTTGTTTTATTTATTTTTTATTTTTTTTAGGCATTGGCTAAATATATTTTTATACATTCTTCCTTTTGCTTAACAAAAATATCTCAATGCATAGTCCATATATTTAAGAATTTTTACACACTGGTTGTTTCCATCAAGACAATGCTTTCAAAAGTGCCTAATCCCAAAAGAGAAAGTAATTCATAATGCACCAACGTTACGTCCTATCATGATTCTCAACCAGGCTACTCCCTGGGACATTTAAATCCGAAATTTTTTGAAGCAGGACCCAAGTTCTAAAGTTCTCAGGTGATTCCAGTGGGCAACCAGGGCTGAGAAACATTATCCAAAATATGCTCAGTGACGAAGCCAAGAGTCCCACCTTTGATCTGCTTCTGACACTGCACAGGCACACAGGTCTCTGTGGTGCCTCCTGGGTCTGTGCTAACATCTTCGTCATCGATGTTGATCTCCTCAGTGATTACATCTGGTCCCAGCTTGGCCATGTACAACATGCTGATTCTTTTCAATGTTTTATTTTCTTTATTTAGCTTTGTCGCCAGAGCTTCAGCACTCTCTCAACAAGTCTTCTCTATTTCAAGATGGTTCTGCATAAAATTGACTTCCTCTATAACCATGTGAGAAATTTTCTGAAATTGCTCCAGTTTTTTAACAGCTTCATCTCGTTCTTGCCTAATTTTGTCACATTTCTCCTTTGTTTTCTGGTTCTCTGCTCTGAGGTCTTCATATTCGCCTATGGTTTGCTCCTTCAGACTGGTGATGAGTTGCAGCTGCTTCTCCTTGTCCGTGCTGTTCATTTTGGCAGGTGGGGCCAGGAATAAAGGAAAGGAGGGAGAGGTGAGGGGTGCAGCGGGGGGGGGGGCCTGAGCTTGTTTTATTATGAAAGGTGTTGGATTTTGTAAAATGCCTTTTATTTTTTGTCAACTGAGATAATCATGTACTTATTTTCCTTCATCCTATTAATGTGGTATATTAAATTGATTGATTTTATTATTTTGAACCATTTTTGCATTACTAGGATAAATCCCACTTGGTTGTAGTGCATCATCCTTTTATTATGCCATTGGGTCTGATGTGTTAGTATTTTGTTGAGACTTTTTGCATCTATACTCATAAGGGATATTTGCCTATTATATTCTTCTAATGTTTTTATCTGGTTTTGATATAGTTATGCTGGCCTCATAGAATGAGTTGAAAGTATTCCCACCTCTTCAATTTTTTCTGGAAGAATTTGAGAAGGATTGGTGTTAATTCTTCTTTAAATGTTTGGTAAAGTTCACCAGTGAAGTCATCTGGTCCTGGACTTTTCACTCTTAGAAAGTTTTCACTCTTGATTTTTTTTTTTTGGTTGAACTTCTGTTGAGATTTTAGTTCAAAAAATTTTTTTCTAATTTCCCTTAAGATTTCTCATTTGGCTCAATAATTATTTGGAATTGCATTGTTTCATTTCCATAACTCTGGGGATTTCCAAATATCATTGGGGATTGTCCGAGCTACCTTTCTGGTGTTGATTTCTAGTTTAATTCCAGTTGGTTTGAGAACATATTTTTTATGATTTCTATTTTTTTAAATTTTAGTTGTGTTTCATGGGCAAGAATGTGTTCTATCTTGGTTAATGTTCCATGTGAGTTTGAGATAAAAGTGTTTCTGTTTTGTGAAGGAGTATTCTGTAAATGTCAATTAGATCAAGTTGACTGATAGTGCTGATCAGTTCAACTATATTCTTAATGATTTTCTGTCTGCTTGATCTGTCAATTACTGAAAAAGAAGTATTGGTATCTCCAACTATGATAGTGAATTTGTGAATTTCTCCTTTCACTTCCCTCAACTTTTGCCTCATGAATTTTGACACTATGCTGTCAGATGCATACACATTTAAGATTATTATTTCTTCTTAGACAACTGACCTTTTATTATTATGTGACACCCTTCTTTTACCCAACAATTTTTCTTGTTCTGAAATCTGCTTTGCTTGAATTAATATAGCTACTCCAGCTTTCTTTTGATTAGTGGTAATATGGTACATCTTTCTCCATCCCTTTACTAATATCCTATCTAAGTACTTATAATTAAACTGAATTTCTTTTTTTTTCCACATTAACATTCTTAGTTTATTGATCCTCTCATGAAAAATCTGCACAACCACCACAGATAAAGTCACTGCAGCATCTTTACTCCTTCTGTTGTTCAATCTCCAGCTCACTTCTTTTTGCCAGCACCAACATTGGTTTTTGCAGTCCCCCTGACTTTCTTCATTCTGTTCTTGCATTCCTTTCGCTGTTTTCTTGATGTCTTTTTCTTCTCGTACAGGCCATGTCTTGCAAGTCTGTGTTTGGGTTCATTTTTCTTTGCATAATCCAAGGAATCATAAATCATGCCAAAGCCGGTTGTCTTGCCACCACCAAAATGGGTTCTGAATCCAAACACAAATATGACATCTGGTGTGGTCTTGTACATTTTGGCTAGTTTTTCCCGAATTTCTGTCTTAGGTACTGTTGTCTTTCTGGGGTGAAAAACATCAATGACCATCTGTTTCAGCTGAAGTAGTTGGTTAGTCATGAGCTTCCTGGTCCAGATAGTTACTGTGTCGTTCATGATGGCAGCCAAGCTTCAAGCAGCCAGGGAGGAAAAGAGTTAAACTGAATTTCTTGTAGACAAAACATAGTTTTGTCTTATTTTATCTATTTTGACATTCTGTCTTTTAATTGATGTAGACTACTCATATTTAAAGTGATATTGACATAGTTAGATTGCTATCTACCATATTTGTAACTGTTTTGTATTTATGGTATTTATTTATTTCTATCTTTTCCTTCACATTTTTCTTTTTTTTTCATTTTAATTGAGCACTTTATGATTTCATTTTATCTCTTTTTTTAAAAAAAATTTAGTAGTTTCTCAATCCTAAAATTTGTATGGAATCAGAAGAGACCCCTAATCACCAAGAAAATGTTGAAAAAGAAAAACAAAGCTGGGGGGCATCACGTTGCCCGATTTCAAGCTATATTACAAAGCAACAATCACCAAGACAGCATGGTATTGGCACAAAAACAGACATATAGACCAATGGAACAGAATAGAGAGCCCAGATATGGACCCTCAACTCTATGGTCAAATAATCTTTGACAAAGCAGGAAAAAATATGCAATGGAAAAAAGACCATCTCTTCAATAAATGGTGCTGGGAAAATTGGACAGCCACATGCAGAAGAATGAAACTCGACCATTCTCTAACACCATACACAAAGATAAACTCAAAATGGATGAAAGACCTCAATGTGAGACAGGAATCCATCAAAATCCTAGAGGAGAACATAGGCAGTAACCTCTTCAACATTGGCCACAGCAACTTCTTTCAAGATACATCTCCAAAAGCTAGTGAAACAAAAGCAAAAATGAAATTTTGGAACTTCGGGCGCCTGAGTGGCTCAGTTGGTTAAGCGACTGCCTTCGGCTCAGGTCATGATCCTGGAGTCCCGGGATCGAGTCCCACATCAGACTCCCAGGGAGTCTGCTTCTCCCTCGGACCCTCCCCCCTCTCATGCTCTCTCTCTATCTCATTCTCTCTCTCAAATAAATAAATAAAATCTTTTTAAAAAAAAAAGAAATTTTGGAACTTCATCAAGTTAAAAAGCTTCTGCACAACAAAGGAAACAGTCAACAAAACAAAGAGGCAATCCACAGAATGGGAGAAGATATTTGCAAATGACACTACAGACAAAGTTCTGATTTCCAAGATCTATAAAGAAATTCTCAAACTCAACACCCAAAAAACAAATAATCAAGTCAAAAAATGGTCAGAAGACATGAAAAGACACTTATCAAAGGAAGACATACAAATGGCTATCAGACACATGAAAAAAATGTTCATCATCATTAGCCATCAGGGAAATTCAAATCAAAACCACATTGAGATACCACCTTACACCAGTTAGAATGGCAAAAATTGACAAGGCAAGAAACAACAAATGTTGGAGAGGTTGTGGAGAAAGGGGAACCCTCTTACACCGTTCGTGGGAATGCAAGTTGGAACAGCCACTTTGGAAAACAGTGTGGAGGTTCCTCAAAAAATTTAAAATAGAGCTACCCTATAACCCAGCAATTGTACTCCTGGGTATTTACCCCAAAGGCACAGATGTAGTGAAAAGAAGGGCCATATGCACCCCAATGTTTATAACAGCAATGTCCACAATAGGCAAATTGTGGAAAGAGCTGACATGCCCTTCAACAGATGAATGGATAAAGAAGATGTGCTCCATATATACAATGGAATATTACTCAGCCATCAGAAAGGATGAATACCCAACTTTTACATCAACATGGATGGGACTGGAGGAGATTATGCTAAGTGAAATAAGTCAAGCAGACAAAGTCAATTATCATATGATTTCACTTATTTGTGGAACATAAGAAATAGCATGGAGGACATTAGGAGAAAGAAAGGAAAAATGAAGGGGGGAAAATCGGAGGAGGAGACGAACCATGAAAGACTATGGACTCCGAAAAACAAACTGAGGATTTTAGAGGGGAGGGGGGTGGGGGTATGGGTTAGCCCGGTGATGGGTATTAAGTACTGCATGGAGCACTGGGTGTTATACTAAAACAACGAATCGTGGATCACTACATCAAAAATTAATGATGTATTGTATGGTGACTAACATAACATAATAAAATAAAATAAAATATAAAAAAAATTAGTAGTTTCTCTAATGTTTCCAATACATATTCTTATTTACTCTAACTCATTTATTGATTGATTGATTGATTTTTGCCTTCTCCCAACTCCATATTTAAATAACACTATACCACTTCATGTGTAATACAATTACCTTATAACACATAATTTCCAAATCCTTTCATTCCTCATGAGATTGCTGAAATTCATCTCACTTATTATCCACATGCTTTAATCAATCAATACATTATTATTAATTGTACCTTAAGTAAGCTATTTTTTAGGCCAACTAAGAATAGGAAAATAAAAGATTTTATTTATTCCTTCTCTAGCATTATATTTATTGTGATATGTCACTAATTTCTTATCAATATAATTTTACAAGAACCTGAAGAATTATTTTAACATTTCTTACAGTGCAGGGAAAATGGCAATAAATTCTTTTAGTTATTATTATTGAAGGACAGTTTTACTTGATATAGAAGTCTAGCCTATAGTTAGAAGTTAATGAGTTTTTTTCTTTTAACACCTTAAATATTTTACTATACTGTCTTCTTGCTTGCATAGCTTCTGTAATCTCTAGGCCCAATGTGGGGCTCAAACTCATGACCTTGAGATCCAGAGTCATATACTCTACTGACTGAGCCAGCCAGGTGGCTTTGCTTGCATAACTTCTGAAGGAAACTCTGCTGTAATTTTTGTTTCATCTTGTATAAGTAATGTCCCTTTCCCCCACCTTTGGTTTTTTTCAATATTTCTTCGGTGTGTTTGGATTTATGTAGCTTGAACATGATATTCCTAGATGTAGTTTGTGCTTGTGTGTGTGTTTGGTTGGTTGGTGTTTGGTTTTTATCCTTCTTGGTATTCTCTGAGATTTCTGAATCTTTAATGTTCTCTTATCATTAATTCTGGAAAATTCTTGCCCATTACTTCAAATATTTTTCTGCTCTGTTCTCTTTCTCTTCCTTCTAGTATTCCAATCATACATACGTAATCCTTTTGAAAATTACCCACAGATTCTAAATGTTCTGTTTGGTTTTTTTACTTCTCCCTTTTTCTTGTTGCATTTCAGTTTAGAAAATTTCTATTGACCTACCCTGAAGCTTACTGACTCTTTCCTCACCTGTATTGACTCTACTGATGATCCAATTAAATGCATTCTTCATTTCTGTTGGTGT